CTCTTATTCATATCTTCAACTATTTTTAGCAATTTATCTTCTTTTAACAATTCCCATGGTATATTCATTTCTTATTTCATTTTTTCAACATTTAATTCATATTAATTATAATTAGTAATATACTTCTAATAATATTTCTCATAAGATTTCTTTATAGAGTTTTATATCTATTTCATTTCTTGATTCATAACATAAACTGTTTTGTTCACATTTAATAAATTATTTTACATACTCTTTTGCTGTTCTTTTACAATATTATTCCATTATTTACGAGCAAATTTAACACTTTTATAAGTTTATGAAGGATAATCATCAAAACATTAATCACAAGCTAAACTCCTAGAACTTATTTTCTCTAACTAAAAATCTAAAAAAACTATTCTGTTTGATTGATGTTCTTTACAGAATATATTTAATTTCTAAATTGATAAATAAAATCTAACCACTTATTTGATTTTTCTGATTCTTCTTCCACCGTTACTTCCTGAAATTAATAAGGAAATGATTGTATATTTATTAAAATATTATCACATATTTATGATATATCTGGTTCCTTTAGCTATTATAATAATTTGCTAATATCATTTTTAGATTATGATAATTCCTTAATTTGTGTTCATTGAAATTTAATAATAGAATTAAAAAATTCTTACAAGTCATTCCCTTCTTGTTTATTAATTTTTTCTTCAAATAAAACCCTCATATTTTCTATTTTCTTTATCCATTCTTCCACACTATTATCAATCTTATTGTTTTATCGCCATCGAACTGTTTGAGTGTAGTAATATTTTTTATCAAATATTCTAATAAGTCTATATTGATTTTTATCTATTCTTCTCTTGATTAAATAAGATGAGTTTTCATGTTCTAGACATTTTAAATTTATTAAGCAAATGTATTTCTTTATTGAGACTTGAAAAATATTTTTTTGGTATAATAGAATTCAAAAATAATAATCAAAATATTTTTTTTTTCATTTCATTAGGAAAGCTAGTTAAAGAACGAAAGAATGAAAGATAAATCCATAATAATCAATATATTATAGAGAATAATATCAAAAAAATAAGAATTGAATTTATAAAATATTGTATTTTATTATGTGCTTCTTTTTTCAATAGTTAAATATTAAAAATCATCTTTTTTGTTTATTCTGGATTGATTTTTTAAATATCAAAGCATTAATGAAATAGTCAACTTAAAGTAATTTTTGAATTGTTGGTCGACATCAATATCTAGTGTTAAAATAAGAATAAAAGTCAAACCTGCTATAAAGAATATTATTGCATAATTGATTTTTTGTTAATAATACTATACATTAATCCAGCCAAATAATTCAGTTCATTCTTTGTCTTCGTTATATATGATAATTTCATATATAGAGAAGACTATAGTATTTAACATCATTAGAATTTTTGTTATAAATAACTTAGTATTTTAAAATTTATTCTCAAAAGTTTTATAAATATTATTTTAGAAACTAAATACCACTTATATCATAGCTGTAATTATACTCTAAGCAGCTAAAAGGTCTTAAAATGCAATTTTATTTTCTATTCTTTCTATTAACTGATACAGTTTTATTTACTCTATCATTTTACTTACATATGAAAAAACAGAAGATATTAGGAAAAATTACACATTTATGTAATTATTGCCAATAAAGAGATTATTGTATCAAAAGTAGTATCTAAATTGAAGTTGACAACTTATTATATAGATGTAAAGGTCAATTTATAAAAGTTAGATGCATAAATTATGATTAATCCAAAGCAAATAAAATATTGATATTATTTTCTTGCCAGTTTTTAGAGTGAAAAAATAAAATTGATTACCTTCAAGAAAAATTCTGGACAATTATAATCTAATCCCAATATCACTAGAGAGAATAGTGTTAATAAGTATTAGAAAAAATAACAATTGATTGAATAAAATTCAAATTTCCATTTGGCTGGTATAAGTAAAATTTAATAATCAAATAGATTTTGTAAAAATAAATCTGTTTTCAATTTATCAAATATGGGAGTAAAAGATCCAATAGTAAATATTTCGTAATAAGTTTGTTAGTTTTCTGGAAATTGAAGATATGTGATATTTCATGAATGATAATTTTTGTAGCATATCAAGCAGTTTCAATACAATTTCTAAATTGCCAAATAAAAAAACAACACAACTTACAATCAAAATGATATACATAACAATTCTACCTAAAAGAGAGGTTTGTTATAAAAGTGATTTGTGATCATTTAACATTTTATAATGAGATTTACTTTAAAACAGGAATATTCTTTTTAAAATTGACTAATAATTTATATGCTACATGAGTTAATTCAATAGTGATAGAATTAATGGGTTTAACTTCAACATCATATTCTTAAGCATTTTCAGTAATAACTATAATCATATATACAAATTGTTCTTCACTAATATCTGTTACATTCAAATGTAGTTGTTAAGAAAATGATAATTTAAATTCTTGATTATCTGAGATTTTTTTGGAGAGTTTAGTAAGTAGAATTTTAGGTAGAACAACGTAATTAAAAACACTAATATTATTCTCTTGTTGACATTTCCAATTTATTTCAACTTTACAATTATAGCTACATCTATTATCACATTATTCTAATTTCTAAATTAAATATCCATCCCCACAAATATTATAACATTATGAATCTATCTTCTAAGTATCCTTTTTGACTTTTTATAAATAATCCTTAGAAACAATTGAGACACATCTTATGACATGAACAGGAACATTGGTACAATCCATCGAATTCAATATTATTTTCATCATCACACAATTCCTTTCCTACTGCATATCCATCTCCACAAATTGAATTACACACACCATTATTTCAATACCCACCCATTTTTTAACAATCTTCACATAGCATAACATTACAAAAAATTATATCCTATCTATTTGACATTTAAACAACAATCATAACGTAAATATAGAAAAATATTAATATTGATAACATTTATAATCTCTATCATCAAATTGTTCTTCCTTGATAGAAACAATATATTTCCACAAAAATCAATGCATGAATTGGAAAAGCATTTATTTAAAAACTCATCCCAAAAGCATTCTTAATTTTCATTATCCGTAAAGCAAATCTCTTTGATTATGTAATTCGAATAACTTTATTTATAAGTGTATCCTCCTTCTTATATAACTCTACAATATGACAAATATGAATTGCATTCCTAATAACAAATAGAAGTAATTGATGTAGTTTAGTAAGTGTTTGTATAACATTTATCATCAATCCAGACACAAGGATTATAATCTATATCAAATGTACAGCCATCAGTAATATTAACATCTTCACAAGCATTTCTTAAAACAAATTGATATTCATGAGTTACATATCTTTTATCCTCAAATATAGAAGCCCAAGCTGAATCAATAGCATAATTATAGTCAAAACATCCTTTTATTCAAAACCCTCCTTTTTTAACAAGTGAAAAGGAAATGCAGGTCTATAGGCACATATCCTTTCTAAGCAAGTACTTTTCTCTTCATCCCATAAGCAATAAATTCCACTTAAGTTTTTTTTTTTCTATCACTTTTTCATTATTCAAATTTATATTTCATGCATAAGATTTAAGCAATATCACATCTATCTAAATTTTTATTCACAGTACATGAATCATCAAAATACTATTGACATCAATGTGTTGTGTATATAATTAATTGTACAATGTAATATTCCTTGATTGTATATTAATATGGGTGCAACTTTTATTTAAATTACAAGACTCTCATTGTGAATGTTAGTTATATAAAATTTTGGCTTAGGTGCAATCTTCAACACATGAATTATTTTTACTATTCCATTAACAATTTGCAAGCCAATCTTATTTGTCTGTTGGTATTAATGGGGCCGTAGGTTTATTTGAACACATTTTTTCTAAGCATATAGTATTATTGATTTTATTATTATAATATTAAATTAATTTATATTTTTAATTTAGTAACACCGTCTCAAAAACTAGGTATTCCTAAAGAATTCTTTGTATAATTAAAATAATTTATATTAAGTACCATCAAATGTACTTACACAAGCATCTTAATATTTTTATACTGAACATAATTATTTTTTGAGTGTGATTTTGAAGTTAATGAAAATTAAATTGTTTGTATGAAATTTATTTCGTTGCAATCTTAATGCGATTTAGGTTAGATAATGCTACCTAAATTACAGTTTTTATTATTAGAGCATTTGGTTGTATTATTTGAACACCAATAACATTTTCCTACTATATGCGTATAATAACCATAACTACTCTCACAATAAGATTATATTATATATTCAGAACAAAATTTTCTAATGCATTAGGATGTTTACCATTTACAATTAGACCCATTAATGATGTTTGTTTAATTACATATAGTTTAATCTGTAATATAACTGCAATCCATAAAGGAACAACCTTAACCTTTTGTGTAATTTAATCTGCAATATGTAGAATTTATTAATAAACATTCACGATTCGTTATAGCAGTTGTGTTAAGTTGACAATCAATATTTTTCACGCATTTACCCATTTACCAAGTGCACTAAAATATTTAACATTAGTATATTAATTTTATTTCAGTACAATTACCTGCGAAAGTCTTACATCCAGTAGTACCACGAACACAATCATAATTCCAATCATAACAATCTTTATCTGAAGTTACACTAATTAAATGTTCACATTTTCTATTCTCACAAGTTGAGTTTGTGGAATTATATCCACATTTTTGTAAAGTAGAGCTTAACTGAGCTACTGATGAATTACAATGTGCCACTGAACCTTACACACTATTACAAGAAGTTAATAAGACACAGCAATTACAACTTGTATTATAAATATAAGTTGATGAATAGTCTTAACATTTCTATCTTTTATCTGAAAGGTTCATGTTAGAAAAATTAAAATTCTTTCGTGTTGTTTATCCAATACATTAAAATTGACATAAACTACAGGTTTATTTATACTGACATAATTATCCTAATCGTGTTTTTAAGCCATCACAAGTATTAACGGATAAAAATTTATCAGAACAATTTATATCAGGTCGACATTTGTCATAATAGTTACATTATTAATTAATTTACATGATTGCACTGTTACATATTTAATTAGATAAATCTAAGCAAGATTCAGTAGAATAACATCCTTATCCACTTGATTATAGNCAATCAGATTATATTATATATTCAGAACAAAATTTTCTAATGCATTAGGATGTTTACCATTTACAATTAGACCCATTAATGATGTTTGTTTAATTACATATAGTTTAATCTGTAATATAACTGCAATCCATAAAGGAACAACCTTAACCTTTTGTGTAATTTAATCTGCAATATGTAGAATTTATTAATAAACATTCACGATTCGTTATAGCAGTTGTGTTAAGTTGACAATCAATATTTTTCACGCATTTACCCATTTACCAAGTGCACTAAAATATTTAACATTAGTATATTAATTTTATTTCAGTACAATTACCTGCGAAAGTCTTACATCCAGTAGTACCACGAACACAATCATAATTCCAATCATAACAATCTTTATCTGAAGTTACACTAATTAAATGTTCACATTTTCTATTCTCACAAGTTGAGTTTGTGGAATTATATCCACATTTTTGTAAAGTAGAGCTT